CTGTACTGACAGTACAGAGACATTCGGAGCTTTTTCTTTCAGTTTTGTCATTCTCTGGTTTGCTGTTGGGTAACAAAAAAAAAAAAAAAAAAAAAAAATCTTCATGCAAGGTTGGTCACACATGTAGAAACATTTTGGAGCGGGGTGGAGGAGAGACGTATTCGACCTCTGGTAAACTAGAAACACTTCCTATTTTCCAGGGAAATAAAAGCCAGTTTTCAAGTCTAATTTTCAATTTGACTGACAGCATACTTTGAAACTTCACCCTCATTTTCATCCACCATCAATGTCTCTTCTCAAAAGTCACAACCGACAAAGGGACCCAGACAACATTGTGGTTCTCCTGGTGGATTTTTACTGTACTTGGGCACCATTTTATCTGGCATCCCAGTTGGTTCTATTTTGTTGGGTTTTCAGCACAGGAAATCCACCTCTGCCGAATACAGTTTGGAAAGCGCGCAGAAACCACTAGATGGCAGGAGCGCACCACCTAAAACGGCAACCGTAATTAAGCAGCCGCTTGGCATTCCTCCCGAGTTCCCGGCGGGGCATGGGGGAGGAGGTGCACTGATTATTGATTGGTCCACTGACACCTGTCTCCTCCTCCTCTCCTCCAACTCTAATTGCAATCCTACATGCTGTTCTCCTGTAGCTCTTCAAGCACTCTGTCAGGAGGGGTACTTATAAGACTGTCTTGATGGACCCCAGTAAGTGGAACAGAGCAGCTTTAGTTAGGGGTGGTCTGAAAGTCCTTTCAACTTCTCCAGCACTTGATCTTGGCAACTGTTTGATGGAGATACTAATTGTGCCTGGGACCGGGAATTTTAGCTTCTACTGGGAATAGTGACGGGGTCAACAAAGCTACCTCTAATAAGTAACCCCTGTTTTCTGCCACATTTGTCTTTGTTCATGCATCTTTTCTTCCTTAAATGCATAATTAGTTCCTACCATAAACCAGGCACCAGGGATACAACCACATCTAAAAGATATTCAGGACCTGTAAGAAGCCTAGAGTTCAGGTGTGACAGAAGGAAGCAATTAAAATGGGTGATAATTGGTACAATAAGGGTGAATGCAGGGCACATTAGCATCACAGATGAGCTTTCTCTGGGAACTGAGAACAGGGAGAGCAAGGACAGTAGGAGTAGGTCAGGCAAGGAGTCAGGGAGGAAAATTCCAGTCTAGAGTCTAACCCAGAAAGAACAATCCAAGCTAAGACAGCTGAGACTGACTGCTGTCATCGGGGCACTTAGGAAGTTGTCTGGATGAAGTACAGAAGTGGGATGAGGACAATCGAAGGGCAGAGAAGGTGAGCAAGAACAAGATCAGGAAGAGTCTTTTACACCATGCAAGGGAATCTAGCCTGAATTTACTTTTTCAGTGGGGATCCATGAAATGTTATATAAAAGGCAGGGTTTTGGTCACAGTTGCTCTTCAGACATGAGGGAAGAAATTAAAATGACCACTCCTGATGGCCACCACAAGGGTAGTAGAAAGTGGATGTAGAGATGTGGTCAGTAGCTAGAGTAATTAGAAGGATCAAAGGAGATTTGGAGATTTATTATACAGGTGGGGAGAGACAACAACAGACCCAAGCATGTCCTCTTGATCTTTGTCTGGGTAACTGCAGAGATTTTGTTGCCAATAACCGAGTATAGTCCTAGACAGAAAGTTAATACCGAATCCTGACAATATGCAAGGTATTTTGTTAGAAGCTATACAGCACAAAACTGTACTTAATATTCATTCTTCAATTCATTTGTTCAAACGACATTTGTGGATAAGCTGCTTTACACAAGGCAACATGCCAGGTCTATGTACAACATCAGGATGAACAAAACATGCTTGTTTTCCAGCCTTCAAAGAGCTTTGAAAACACTTTTTTCTTCCTAATATATTTTTAATGTTGTACTTATTGCTTCTATTACATATTTTGGATTTGGGCTACATATTGTAATATATTTTAGAATTATCCCTATTCACATCTCATCACTTTACCTAGACTAAATGCTGCTTGAGGGCAGGTCAGCAACCATAACATCACTGATGTCTGGCTTCACCAAGCAAATTTTATAAATACTTGCTGAATGAGATTAAATATAGCTAATTTCTGAACTACTTTTGACACATAGTTAAGAAATCTCTTACCACTAACATTATCATAATTGAAAACACGGAAAAGAATTGGGTTGAATTTCATCCCAACCTCTCTTTTTCTAGTGACATCCTTATAGTACCACAGCCATACTAAGCAAATGTAGAACAGAAAAACAGTTGAACAACTAGGTTCTCTAACACAAGAAGATGTCAGCAATAGTATCCCTATGATTTAAGAGATTTTTATTGCAAAGACATGTATGGTAACGATATATCATTGGCAGGCCCAGGCATAGAGATGTTCTGTTCACTCACCCAGTTAGAGAAGCACATATATGTCCTTACTAAACGCTGGCAAAGCTCCTAGGTGTCAGCATCACACTAGGCCCTGCTGAGAACAGGGTTACCTGCATAGGCTCTGTGCTACTCATGATGCTTTAGTAGTGAGCACCACAGGCCCTAGACAAGAAAACATTAGGGTAATGCATTTCCATAATGAATATGAACCCATCTTCATCCACCACGAACTCTGTCCACGGTGAGCACACATTTGAGTAGTTTTTCTTGGGAGACAGGGGAAAACTAATTGGGATACAAAGACCTGAATCCAATACCTGGGTCATCATTACAGAGCTAGAATTCAGCTGTGTTAATGGTCAAATGAAATAAGTTCTGGATGAGAAGATACAGGGAGACTCCTAGGTCCTGAGAAAGAGCTTTTGCTCCAGAGGTGGCAAGCACGCTGGCTTCATCTCATGTGTCAACTCAATTTGATTGCAAGTGACTGCCTGGAGTGTCATGCTGAGCAGATTTAGTGGAAAAGAAGGATTGTTTTTCAAATGAGCAATTGCTTAGGATGGGAAGGTAGTGACACATGGCACGTATTTGTTAATTTTTTACTACACTATGGATTAATCAATTACATTGACATATTTAAAGAAAGGAGCCCTGGAGAAGTTGAGATGTACTGTCTAGAGTGTCTAGACATACAGGAATCAGAGTAGTGTAGGGCCTGGCCATTCCTAGATATTGGAAAATCTGACACTCAGGTCTCTGGGCAGAGGAACACTGTCAAAGGGCAGGCTTTATCATGGCCTCAGACCTGGAGAATCAACTTTCCTTTGTTCATATTCTATGATCAGGAGGCCCTTTTAGGTATCTTTTGTGATTTCAATTTTATTTTAGTTTTTTTAAAACTTTTAATTGGCACATGATAATTCTACATAGGTATGAGACATGGTGTGATGTTTTGATACCTGTATAGAATCTATAACAATCAAACCAGGGTAATTAGCACAACTATCACCTCAAAAATTTATCATTTCCACATGCTGGGAACATTCACTCAGGAGGATGTTTTAATTCAGCTGCCAAATTCACCAAGTCTAGTTTTGCTGCTAATAGATTTGTTACAAAGATCATTTAAAATCCAGTGTTTGGAACTACAAGCCTGAAAATCAGGTTCCTGATTATGGAGAATTCATTATGGAGAATTTCTTGTTGGTCAGTCTGGCCTGACCACAAATATTGCCTGGAAGTGTCTTTCTGTTGACTTTGATGAAACTCTATGACATTTTATCAGCCAAATCTTTTGTAAGATATATACTCATTGCAGAAAACGGATACAACACATTATTCAAGGAGCTCACCATTGATGTTTGGGTCAATACTATCTTTTAAAATAAACAACTGTGCCCAATTAAAACATGCATGAATTCAACTTCGATAAGAAACTACTATTCACTTTCTCTTCTCACTGGCGTCTTCCCCTGATCTACTTCAAGGTTCTTCAGAAGTCTCTGTTTTTGAATGTATTGGAATGCAAATTTTAAGTTTGCCCACACATTCTGTTAATGATGTGAGAGTTCTAATGTGTTTTATTTCTCAAAAAGATGAAGCAAAAAAATGCAAATTTTGAAGAACATTGAGTTTTCTTTATGCCTTTTTTAATACTTGGAAGAAGTGCCACCCTTCAAGTTGAAAAAAAAAAATGCCTAACTAACACTTACTCCTTGGCCTTGGCAGTTGGTATTTTACTTCTCACAAATGAATATCTCAGTATTGAGTCAGAAAAACGACGCACCACATAAAAGTGCATGTGAAGTAACTTTCTCCAAGGGAAAGTACTTGAAAACATTGTAGACGCAATAAAACACTGATGTTTTTAGGCTCAGCAATCTGAGAAGTTCATTTGGACGTGAATAGCACTAAAAAGGAAAAGAACAGGACAATAGTTGTGAGAAGAAGGCAGAAAAGAGGTAGAGGTAGAGAAGAAAAAAAAGAGTTAAAATCCACCATAATGTCAGCTATGACAGGTATAGTAGGGTTCTCCAGAGGAACAGGAACAACAGGGAAAAATTTATACACACACACACACACACACACACACACACACACACACACGGTGGGGGGGTTCTGTTCCCCTGGGTAACGGAATACATATATGAATTCATTTGTGTGTGTATTAGGCTGTCTTACAGGATCAGAAGCTGGATAGTCCCACACTGGCTGTCTGAAGGCTGGGAAGCTGATGAAACCAGTAGCTACTCAGTACAAGAACCAAGTTTTTCACAACAAGAGGGACCAATGGTGCAGCCTCAGTGATGCCTAAGGGCTAGTATAAGCTCCCTGGAGAGTTGCTGGTGTAAGTACATGTTCAAAGGCAGAAGCATCTGTAATCTGATATTCACAGGTGACAGTAAAAAACGTACCTGCTCTACCTGCTCAAGAAAGTTTCTGAGCTTCCTCTTTTTTTTTTTCCATTGCTTTAGTGTATCTGGGCCTCCAGCTTATTGGACAGTAGCTGCCCACATTCAGGGTAGGTCTTCTCCCCAGAGTTCTCTGACTACATGTCAGTTGTCTCTGGAAACATCTTCACAGATACACCCAGAAGTATGCCTTACCATTTTTTTCTAGGTGTCTCTCAATCCGGTCAAGTTGACATCTAAGATTAACCATCACAGGTAGTGACTGGGTTAGGCATTAGGAAGTTTTGATGGATGAAGAACTGGACCTTACACATCCAGGTAAGAGTCTGAAACAAAAGTTGGTGGTTTTCTAAGCAAAAGCAATATTACTTATATGAAGCATATTATAATTCCTGTGATAATTTTTTTAATGTCTATAAATTCCTCCCAAGCAATTTAGGTGTTGTCACAGACAGTGGAGTAAATATCATTCTCCCATGGACTCTGGGCTTGGCTAGGCAACATATTTTTTGGCAAGTGGAACTTCAGCTCCTGTGTCATGGAGGCAGCTTGACAAGTGTCTGTGCACAGGGGCTGATGTGAAACCTGGCTTAGTCTACTAGAGGATAAGTGGATATTAGTCACCTACTGCTGCTGTAACAGATGAAAACAAATCAAGTGACTCATCACAAGACAAATCTGTTACCTTACAGTTTACAAGGGCAGAAGTCTAAAATGGGTCAGCAGGGCTGCATTCCTTCTGGATGCACTAGGAAAGTCTGTCTCTGTTCTCTGTTTTTACTTGGAGGTGGTACTCCCTGGCTTGTGGACCCTTCCTTCTATCACTGTGAGCCTTGCTTTCTGTCATTATGTCCCCTCCAACTCAGACTCTTCTGCCTTCTTCTTATGAAGCCTTTTGTGATTACATTGGGCCAGGATAATCTTCCCTTCTCAAGATTCTGAACTTAATCACACTTCCAGATCACGCTTTCATTCCATTGTGAACATATTCATATTCACAAGTTTTGAGGATTCGGGTATGAATATCTTTGGGGAACCATTTTCTGTCTGCCAATGAGGTCAAGGACAGGAGAAACAAGGAGTCCATCCCAGAGCCAGCAGCAATGTACCCAGACATGCAGACAAGGCCATCTTGACTTCTCTAGTCCAGTTCAGAATGTAGCAAGGCCAGGGAACCCACCTGAGACCCACAAAAATCCCACCTAGACATCCTATAGAGTTCCAAGAAACAGTAAGTCCTTGATTTTTATCTTCTTAAATTTGGGGATAGTTGATAATGCAACTTTCAAAACCTAATTTAAATAACATATTTTTACCTTTAAATGAGCATTTTATAAACTGGAAATTTTACATCTTTGTTGGCAAGGTGAAATTCTGAAGAGGGCTAATTGTTTTATGACTTTAAAAATAGTTCCTCTCCTCATGGTATGAGAACTCATCCCTTTATTAAGTTGAACATACCTATTTTCTTTTCTCCTAATTCTAAATTTCACCTTCTTTTTGGAAAAGTTAAAAGAAGTCAGAGATAGAAAGGACTTTGAATTCAACATCCTAATTAATTATCTAGTAAATATCTGGTTATTTCTCTTAATATTTATGTCTCTTTTCTAGATATAATTTTAAACAATAAATGTATTTTTGACCCTTATCAATGCCATTAGAAAAGGTTCGAATTTCTTCATTTTCTGAAGTCTCATATTCATCATGACTCCTGGACTCACACAATGGTCTATGCCACAGTCTATGTCTTTGTATCCATAAGACATTTATGGGCTACTCTCTTCCAATTAAATCATCATCTGTCACCTGAAATTTATTAGGCAATGGCCTCTGTGTTGGGCCCTATGGAATACCATTCAGATCAAGTTAAAAAGATAGAGCCCTAGCTCTCCAAGAAATTCAATAAATATAATTTAACAGGTTCTTTGGGAGAACAATAAAAGGTATCTGTGGTCCTTCACTAACTCAAATATTAAATTCTTCATTTGCAGCTCAAGCTCCTGACTTGGAAGATTATTATTTTGCCTTCTAGGTCATCTTCTTCTTAGAACTTTATCTTTAATTTCATTGCCTTGGAAATGAGGCAAACCTGAGTCTGATCATTCTTAATTACACTTTTCTATTGTGGGTTGTTCAGGTAATAAACAAAGAGAGGGTATATTCCATTTTCTGAGGTTTTTTTGGTGGATATAGATGACTGTCCAAGTTTTCTATCTTTATATCGTGTCCCCTAGTGTGCCCAGTACTTCACCCTCTGTGATCACGTGGCAGTTTTGAAACACGGGTACAAACTCTATGAAACTTCATGCACTGAAAGGTAAGTGTTCTCTCTTTCCTTGCATCTAAGCTGAACTTAGTAACTTGCTTGTGAAGTTCAGAGTGCAGAAGGGATGCTGTGTGACTTCTGAGACTAAGTCTGAAAGGCCTTTGAGCTTCTGCTTGGATTTCTGGGGGCACTTGCTCTGGTGGAAGCCAGCCACCAGGTGAGAGCACCTTTACACCATGCTGTAAAGTCCAAGTGTAGGCATCCCAGCCCACAGCTCCAGCTGAGCTTCTAGCACAGAGATACTCAGCACCAACTGCCATCCATCTGAGAGTGCCTTCTTGGATGTCCTGCCCAGTAGATCCTTCAGAGCCTTTCAGCTTCCATTTGACTGCAACTGCAGGAGAGACCCCTACTGCCACTGCTCACATAAGCCCTTCCTGAATGCTTGATCTACATTATCATGATTAAAATAGCATGGTTGGTGTCTTATGCTCCTTCATTATGGAGTAGTGCATTATATGGTAATAGCAACTACAGCAGTCTCAAAAAAGAAGAGCTTGAGCAGATGTCCAGCTGTTTTCTGATGAAACATGACAAAGTGAGAAAAAACTGAACTCCCATTCCAGGGCTCGTGACCTGTTCTTGTGAGAGAACAGCTTGTTGAGAAGAGGACTGTAACTGTATTGGGAATCTAGAATTCTAGATCAAACATTTGCCACTATTTGCTCTGAGAGTTTGGTCCAAAAAAATTATCTCTTTAGGATCCAATTTCATCATTGGTAAAATAGAAAGTTTGGATGGAACATTATGCAAGATTTCTCCTATACCTTAAAATTTTAGAGTTCTAATGATTTTTTAGAACATTGCAATGGACAAATCAATAAAATAAATTGATATGTAGCATCTCCCAGATGAAAGCAGCCAAGTGTAACGATTCACCTATAAATCTGTAGGAAGTTCTATCCAAAAGTATTAAAGAGCTTGATGGCAGGTTTAGAAAGTGATAAAGTTAGTTTAAAGTTTTTATTGAACTGAAAACAGTGAGTTTTAAAAAGATGACAGTGATTAGACAAGACTTTTCTAATTTCACTGTGGTTAATGCAAGAAGTGTGTTACCTGTTATTTGAAATTATTTCAATGTGACATTTACTTAAGTTATTCATCATAAGAAACAGTCATCCTGTTTCTTACTCAGAAAGCACTTGAACCCTTCATTTCCTGAATTGTTTCTAGTTCATTCTGAATGTGATCTTCCTATTGAAGAAAATTGAAACAATGGAATGTGTGAAGAGTGATTTACCCCCTCTTTGTGGGGGTGTAGGAAGGAGTCTTTTGAGTTTTAAACATTGGATATTTATGTAATATGTAGAACTGCATGTTATAATAAGTAGGCATTATTTTTGTCATAAAACAGTAGGATTCAAATATAGTCTCCAGGTAAAATGGTGAAATAAACAAGGTATGTTTTTTATGATTTCAGTCATTCCTAGCCTGCATGCCCCTTCACATTTCTTGGTCATTTTTGTTTCCCTGACGTTATTGTTGCCTAACTTTCTTTTACTATCTGCGTGGACTAATGGAAGCTTGGTTTAAAATTACATTTGATTTAAAGATGTTGTATTCCATGAGAAAGAAAACACAATATTTAGATGCCCACAAAAGGCTAAGGAAACACCGAAGAGGACATAATTATTTCTGAATCAGGGAAGATGACATTTGTGATGGGCTGGTAGAGGGCAGAACTAGGATTTTAACCCTTGTCTTTCCATCCTCTATGTAAGCTGTCAGCTTTCCTCATCTGCCTCCCCAACTTCCTGCTCCTAGATTCACTGTCCCAGCTTCTCTGCAGAGGCTTAGTTTCTTTCTTGGGCCTTTGTGACTTTGGAAGGTAGAATTATTTATACTAATATTTTAACGTTGTCATCAAAAACTAATACTCAGCACTGACTGAGCACTCACTAGTACTCAACAGCAGGGAGATCATGTGATTCATCTTCAAAACAGGGATACATTTTAAAAAACTCGATAGGAGTATAATTGACATATAAAATAAACTATATGTTTAAAATATGCAATTGGATAACTTTTGACATGCAAACTTGGACTCAGGAAACCAGCACTGCAATCAAGATAGTGACCATTCTCTATCACTTATGAAATTTTTCATTTTGTGATCCCTTCCTACCAGCCATCCTCATCCCCAAACAACCACTGATCTGCTTTCTGTCACTATGGAGCCGTTTGCATTTTTTAAAAAAATGTCTGTGTACATTGCTGATTCTTTCCCGTCACTGTCATTCACTCCATGTTGTTGTGAACACTGGTCGTTCACTACTTTACGTAGCTGGATATTTTTCCACTGCACGCAGGTGCCGTAGTTCATTCTCTTACCTTCTGTCGGGCGTTTGTAGGATATTTTAAATATTAACAATAAAGCACCTATGAACATTCGTGTGAAGAAGAGATGACTTGGTTTTGGCAGGCAGAGAAGGCTGGACTGCTTTTCTCTCTGTAAGTCCATTTCTATCTCTATGTTTTATCAGGGGCCATTTGTCATGCCTGGACTCCTCTCTTCTAACTGCCCAGTCCATTCTTCGGATCCCATTGTCCTCTGAAAACCTCCAGCCGACTCTTCATCTGTCACAGGACTCACTTCCTTACAGAATCCATTTCCTGATCATCATCAGTGTTGGGTGCCCCCACCTGTGTCCTGGCATGGCCCCCCCAGGTTTCGTCCTTTATAGGACTTCCTGTCTGCAGTGCTTCTTTTCATGTCTGTCGCTCAGAAGTTCTTTGAGAGTGGGACCATTTCTTATGATCATGGTGTCCATGGGATTTATATTGGCTGGCTAAATATATGTTAAATATGAATAAATAAGTGAATGAAGGAAAAGTAAAGAATAACAATAAGCACAAAAGGAAATGGGGGCTGTTGTATGAATCGATAGTGGTGAAGGTGACTCAACCCTGTGATGCACTGAAAATCATTGAATTGTACGAATCCAATGTGTGAATTGTAAGGAATGTGAACTCTATCTCAATAAGGCTGTTTATAAAAGGGGAATTGAGAAACAGTAAGTCAGCCTGATGGAAGAACATCTCGCAGTAGGCTGAAAAGTGTTTTTAACACTTCCCGATGTCAACTCTAAATGTGCTGGAAGACTGAATGATCAAAACTCAACCTACATCCACAGTCTTTATCCCAATGTTGTCTTACTTGATTCATTTACTTACTTATTTATTCATTTCTGTGACCGATCTTCAAAGCATGTTAAGATTACATTTCTAACTGCTTTTGTGTGACTTTCCTGCTGTGAGCAGCAATCTAATCTAGAATGGATAGCATCATAAACTAGGAGCAAAGAGGAGTTCATTCCATGCTTGGAATCATTGCTCTCCAGGAGATCAGATGCAAATCAGAACCTCTAGTGCTGGCATCGTGAAGGATAAATAAAGATTTACTAGGATGAGAATCTCCAGGAGGGTACTTTAACCAGATTTTATCTGAGTTATAGGATTTATTCTCTTCCCCAAAGGTAGAGAGACATCAATCATCAAGATCTTCATGGAGAAGGCATGTGGGGGTTGGGAAACCACATGCTGAGGTGGGTAAGGGCAGAAGAGAACACAAAGTGGGTAAGCTGGGAGCTTTCTTTGCCCTGGAAAGATCTTCAAATTTCACTCTGTGATCAAAGGAGAGCCAACATTTTATAAATTAAGGTTTGGGTTTTTGCCTGGGAGGGTGTACGAGGGATTGAACTCAGGGAAACTCGACCACTGAGCCACATTCTCAGCCCCATTTTGTACTTTATTTAGAGACAGGGTCTCACTGAGTTGCTTAGTGAGCCTCACTTTTGCAGAGGCTGACTTTGAACTCAAGATCCTCCTACCCCAGCCTCTTGAACTGCTAGAATTACAGGCCTGCACCACTGCATGCGGCCAAATTAGTGTTTTAAGAAGGAAGGAATTATAACAGGATCATTTTGGAGATAAGTGCAATAAAAGCTATGAAAACATTTTTTCTCCTTTGGAACAGAGTGCAGTACACGTTACAATATCTATTACTTATCTCATTTGACCATAGCCTTATTTAGCCTCTCATTTTGAATTTAAACTTTTGATACCCTTCTCCATTCCCTCTTCCACCCTCCCTAAAAGTCTCTGATTTCAAGCACAGCTTTGAATGCCTCCTCTTCAGTGCTCCTGGAGACCCTATTTTGTGTGGTTTAGAGTGAGAAAAAAATGTGTATTCCTCTTTGGGGGAGCTACTTTTTTATCATTTTATAACTTCAACCTCAAATTGAATGTTATCTGAAGCAATTGTCTGAGGAAACATGTTGCAACCACCCTGTTGTAGTTTTCAATCGACATCAGCTTAATTTTCAACCATCCCTATGTCTTGATTCCAATGCTTCATTAGATATGTATTAGATACCCATCAGAGGTTATTTGTGTATGTGACAGTATGTATGCATTTGTGTGGGGGTGGGTGTGTGTATGGGTAGGTGAGGGATTGTATTAATGGGTATCTAGTTACAACAAACTTAATGGCTTGAGACAACACCCATTTATTAGCGCACAGTTCTGCAGTTGAGAGGTCTGGGCAGGCTCAGTGAGGTTCTTTACTTGGGATCTCAAGAGACTGAAATCAAAGTGTCAGATTCTCATGTGGGGGACCCAGAGAAGAATCTACTTCCAAACTCATTCCATTGTGGGCAGAATTCAAGCAAGGATCTCTTACATAACTGCAATATAATTATCAAAATCCAAAATTTTAATATAAGAATTTCTGTTTTATATTTCATTTATAATATTCAAATTGTATCATTTCTGCCAATAGAACCATTATAGTTATCTTCTTCTCTAGTCCACAATCCTATTCACATCATCCACTGCATTTTCTGTTATGTCCCTTTAGTTACCTTTACCCTGTGATAGTTCTTCAGCCTTTACCTTTCTTGACACAGACATTTTAAAAATAAAATAGAACAACTCTTTTTAGAATATTGCTTAATTTTGATTTGATTTTTTAAAAATTAAATTCAAGTTAAGTAATTTTGTCAAGAATGCTAGAGATGCGATGTTTTATCCTTGCTGAATCATTTCAAGAGGTATATGATGATATTGGTTTCTTCCAATGTTGGTTATATTAACATTGATCATTTGGTTACTGTGGTGCCTCCAGAGTTCATTCACTACAAAATACCTATATTTCCCTTGGTGAATAGTTTGTGGTGAATTACTTTGATCTATGTAAACAGATGTGCATTATTAAACTGATGTAAGCATCCAAGGATGATTTTTGAAGCTCTGTCCTAAAGCATCTTATAGTATCCCACTGTAAGGAAAAACAGATGGGTCTATTATATCAATGTGAACTCATCAATTCTCATTTTACTCAATGTAATTGGTTGTGTCCTCATTTATATATATAATCTGATGCAGATTTCACCAATGAGTGTCTTTTTAATTCACTCCTGTGTCCTCTTAGTATATCCTCATTGTCTCTGGGTACCTCCTTATTTTATGATACAGGAGAATGTTCCAGGCTTATCTTGTATTTGAATCCTGAAATCAACACTTCCTCCAAGGAGAACTATTGCTTTTTAGAAGAGAATCTGACTTAAAAACTAGTCACTAGGTGAGCTTATTGCTTCTGGTATCATATTTGTGGTTGCTCTGCAAAGAGTGCTAAGATATATACATACAAGAATGCACTCGCATATACACATACTCATACACTTGCACAACACATATACATATACGTGCACACACACACACTCTTACATACACATACACACATTCACACCTATAAATACATCAATACATGTTATGGTTTGGATGTGAGATGTCCCCTAAAAGCTCACGTGTGAGACAATGCAGGAAGGTTCAGAGGAGAAATGATTGGGTTGCAAAAGTCTTACCAATCAGTGAATTAATCCCTGATGAGATTAATTGAAGTGGTAGAGTGTGGCTGGAGGAGGTAGGAATTGGGCCAAGGCTTTGGATATATATTTGTATCTGGCGAGTGGAGTCTCTCTCTCTCTCTCTCTGCTTCTTTTTTTTTTTAAATAGAGAGTGAGAGAGGAGAGAGAGAGAGAGAGAGAGAGAGAGAGAGAGAGA